CACAAATGAACTTATTTACAAAACAGAAACAGACTCAAATCAGAACTTTCACACTCTGCAGTCTGTAAGTTTAAAGACATCTTCTCCCCCAGGCATCTTAACTAGTCAGAGCTCAGTGACAAGTAAAAGCCAGTCCCTGCGTCTTTACAGATGTCTCAGTTCTGTCACAAGCTTGCTGCTGTCACAGTGACCCTTTACAAGAAGGTTTAGATCTAGCAGATAAAATACAGGGACCCACTCATATTAAAAAAAACAAAGTATTGATTGTCGTTCTGAAGTTTCAATCGGAGGAGCTGTGCTGCATTTTATCTGGTCACCCTCCTTCCTGAGCACTTGAATTCCTCCAGGTGTCACACTTGGTGCACGACGGATGTTCAAAATACCATCCAGAGCAAGGGGCTCTCGGCATCCACGTCCTCAGACAGGATCAGAAGGGCCAGCGCTCTCCCTGCGTCACACGCCACCTGCATGGCCGCCGTGCCAGGACCCGAGCAGGCTCACTCCAGGTGCTCCGGCTCTCCCGGCGGGGTACGCTGTTCCCAGGACGGCCTGGGCTCAGGGATGCTCCATCTTCAGCATCATTCCTTCCAGTCCCACTGACGGCGTGGCCTTTATCTTCTAACAACCACCATCAGCCCATAAGGGGACCTTAAGACACAGTGAGGATGGTTAAGAATATTTTATTTCAAAATCATGTTTCGAACTGTCATAAAATATCCACTGTAAACGTCTCCTTTTTCAAAGCAAGCATTTCTCCCGGAGATGATTAAATGATCTGATACACCTTCAGAAAGCTTTAGGAAGTAGCTCAGGGCAAACATTAGACTCTGAAGTCAGACAGGCGAGGGTCCCCATTTTGGCTCTGTCTCCTGGCTGTACTGGCAGGACAGGTTATGGGGCAGCGTCCTGGCAGGGGAGCCGGGAGACCGCACCCCGAGGGTCTTGTGGGGCTTAGGGATATTGGGCCACAAAAGGGCTTGAGCCAGACTTGCACCCGAGTGAGGCAGCGCTCCAGGTTGCCCACCACCAAGAGGGGGCAAAGGCCTGGGGGGGGGGCCTCGGCCTCCCAACCCAGCAATTCTCAGGCTCTGTGGTCTCAGCTGAGTCAGCAGACCCCACCTCTGCCCAGCGTCTGTGACCCAGGACCACAGCAGTGCCACAGGGCCCAGCACATCCCAGTCCTGCTCCTCACACAGGCACTCATTTGTTCCCCATCCAAAGGCTCTCCCACTTCGCACACCTCCCTGGTGGGACAGCGACGGGAGAGCAGCCTGGGCTTCAGCCCCCACCCCATTGGACACCCGGCCCTGCAGCCCGGCTCCCTGCATTCAGCCGCTTCCTCTGTAAAATGGAAAGACCCTGTTGGTCAGCGTGAGAGTCGGAGAGAACGGCGCTGCTAAGTCTGCCCCGTGAGTCAGTGCTGGGAGGTGCTCTGAAAAGACGCAGCTTTGAGGTCAAGAGCAGATGGATCGCACACCTGTGCCTCGCTGGCTCCATCCACAGCCTGGGGGGGTGGGCGGACCCTCAGCAGCGCAGGTCACAGGCTGCGCTGGCGGGAGTCACAGGTAGCTCTGGTGACCGTGCGGGTTCTGACTCAGTGGGTCTGGGCTGGAGCCTGAGTCTGCCCGAGACGGCCGGCCTCCGTGCACCCAGGATGCGGGTTCTCACGCCGTGCTTTGAGGAGTAAGGCTCAGAGTTTAAGGCTCCCGTCCAGTCCCCCATCTGATCTGATGCAAGTAGAGGAGCCGGGAACCCAAGGTTCACAGTGACTCACTGAGGGCACACTGAGACCAGGGAAAGATGCTCACCAAGCAAAATTTTGGAAATAAAGTGTGAGATTAAAGCCACCCCCTCAAAGACAAGGGTGCCGGCTCGGGGAGTGCGGGGTGGTGAGAGCCCTCAGCTCCAACTTCCTCCCTCATCCCCTCTGCCACCCCAGCACGGCAGCAGCAGCCACCGTGAGGACCAGGACACTGCACTGCAAGAGTTTCGCTCTTCTGCATTCCTACGGCGGCTCCTCTCTGGGAAAGCGGGGCTCGGGATTTCAAAGCCAGCCCTGAAGAACTGGAATTGCCTCAGCCCGCTCCCGACTCCTCTCCCAGGACCGGAAATGGCCACACTGGGATGGCATCACAGGAGGACAGACGGAGGCTTTCTGGCAGCTGCCGAGAGCCACTGCCTGCAGGGCTCCCACCCGCCTTTCTAGGTACTCAAACTTTACATCTTCTGGCCAACAGTGCCTTCCGCGGGGTAAACAGTGTCCCAAGAGTCCCTGGAAATCAAGTCAGAGAGACGATGGGACAAAGAGCCCCGCCCTAACCAGCAAGCATGGTATCTCCACACTCAAAACCTTCATGACGTGTGAAGAAAAACTGCCAAAATCATTTAAAACCTTGACTCTGAGAGGTGATGAGATGTTTCTATGACATGGTTTCTGGAATGTCTGGGGGCATCAGATGCTCTCACTACCCCACCAGAGAAGCTGGGTGGGAGCACAGGTGGCCACTTTCCCCCTCATCCCCCTCAGCTTTCCCACGCTCTCCAGAGCCCTGGAGTCAAGCCATGTATCCTCCTTTGTTTGAGCCCAAAATACATAGTCATCACACATGGTTATAAACTCTACAGTTTAGGGGCACTTTAGCAGGGATTCTTATTGGTTAAAAATGGACCCACACTATAAACCTGAGTTTATACCGGTTATCACCGCAGGATGGTGCTGCAGAGCATGAGGTGGAGAGCAGGGGCATTCACCTCGGCTAGCCAGCAGTGAGCCCCTCCGCACTGTCAGCAGAGACCACCCGGGAGCCTGGATTTCCACCAGTGCAGGTGGAGACCACTGTGGGAGGTACCTCTCCCCCTCCCAGCCAGGGTGGTGTCAGCAGAGACCTGCTCTAATAGAAAGTTTAATTAAGATTGAGAGCCTAATTGAGACCCAGGTTTCAATGAAGATCACTCATCATACCAACAACCAGGAAACACTCAACTTGAATGAGAAAAGACAACAGTAGCCAACACCGGGTTGACATGATGTTGAAATTAGCGAATAAGGATTTTATAATAGCCATCAAAAAAGTCTTTCAATGAGCAATTATGACGTTGCTCAAAAAAAAGGAAAAATTTGAAGATTTCAGCAGAGAAATAGAAGATATAAAGAAGAACCAACTTTAGAACTGAAAAATACAATAGCCAAAGCAAAAACTTCACTGGATGAGCTCAAAAGCAAAACGAGGACAGAGGAAAGAATCAGTGGACTTGAAAACAGAAAAACAGAAATTCCTAAATTACCCAACTGGCACAACAGAAGAAAGATGACTTAAAAAAAAAAGACACAGCCTCACAGACCTGTAGGAATATAACAAAAGATCTAGTATTCCTGTCGTCAGGGCCCTGGAAGGAGAGGAGAAAGAGGGAGGGGCTGAAAAGGATGTGAAGAAATAATGGCTGAAAACCTTCCCATTTGGCAAAAGACTTAAACCTACAGTCAAGAAGCTGAGGAAACCTCAAACTGGAAAAACACAGAGAAATCCATGCCAAGGTATATCATGGGCAAATTTCTGAAAACTAAAGATAAAGAGCAGGGAGAAACACGCCTTATCTGTAGAGGAAAAAGCAATTCGAGTAATAGATGTCTCATCAGAAACCACGGAGGCCAGAAGGAAGTGTCCCAACGTATCAAATGCTGAAAGAAAAGAACTCCAGCCCAGAACTCTAGATTCAGCAAAAACATCCTTCAGGAATCAAGGGGACAACAAGACCTCAGATGAAGGAAAACTAAGAGAACTTGTCACCACCAGACCTACCCTTAGAAAATGGCTAACGGACACTCTTGAAACAGAAAGGAAATTATCGAAGAAAGAATACTGGAGTATCAGGAAGAAAGACAGAACAAGGGAGAAAGTTAAAATGGGAGTAAATATAATCAACTTCCCTTGTCCTCTTGAGTTTTCCAAAGACAAATGAACGGGACTTCAAGAGGTCCAGGTGGCTCATTCTCACCCAGAGGCAAACCACATCACCTGCGGGGTTGATTTAAGAGGCCAGTTACTTACCCGAAGCTTCTCAGCCTGCAATGCCTGCGCCAGCTGCACCAGCGTCTCCCTCAGACTGTTTCCTGGGTTTCTCTCCAAACCCAGTCAATCAGAATTTCTAGATGTGGGCTCCAGGACTCTGTTACATACACCAAGGTACGACGTCCTCAGATCCGAGTAGAGCTTTTGTTCAAAAATAGTCAGGCTCAGTCACTCATTGTTAACTTCTGAGGACCATGAGAAGAAGTGTTTTATAAATTCCCTGCAGGACTGGAACAAATTCCAAGATAAAACAGTAATCAATCCCCAGCCTGGGGTCAAGGTCACACATCTCTCTGCATCATCACAGGCTGATGTTCCAGGGAGGGTGGGTCCATAGAGGGATCCATCGTACTTCTGTGCCTCAGTCTCTTCCCCTATAAACTGGGGACAGCATCTGCCTTTCCCAACTCATAGGGTCCAGGTGAAGAGCAAAACAAGAGAGCTGTGATGAGTTTATATATGGTGATTCTTACCCAATGTGAATGCCTAATCTCTTAACCAGGGCCATCGTGTTGCTCTTTTTTCTTTGAAATGGGATGTCTCTGACTTTTTCACAAAGACTCCAGGAATAAAATGTACCACTTAACCGACCTTTCCTCCAGGGTCCCACTGATAGTCAGCCCCAGCATTGCTACAGATGAGGACCCTGGCATCAGCAGAGTGGGGAAGACAGCAAGGCCCCCCCAAAACTGGCAGTGGGTGCTCAGGGGCTGTTCCTCCAGGAGCCCCCCACAGGTCCCTCTACTGGCTGGGTCCCCAGCACTCACCTGCCTGAGAAGGCAGCCCCAAGTCCTAACACCTCCGAGGACAGGAGTAGCTAGCAGTGACACGTGACAGACATCAGGGGACTTGCAGAACGCTCACGTTATTTCCAACTGGGGGAGAAGGAATATTGTAAATTGTCATCCTGGGGGGAGTGGGATGCTAGAATCTGGGAGTGAACGCCTCAAAGACGTGGGGATCGAGGCGTGGAAAGAGGGGTCTCAAATATGTTAAAAGCAGTCTCTCCACCAGCCAACTTGAGAGGCCAGTGATGAGAAGTATCCGCGCTGGCGCCTCCTGGGTGTCACCAGTGCCCCATCGCCAGCCCCCGGGTTGGGAAAGGGCAGTGGCCAAAGCACCGAGGGCGCAGGAAGCGTGTCTGCCGAGCGCGCCCCGGCCGGGCCTGAGCCC